CCTTTTAAATAAATAAATGAAATAAAATGAACAGTAAATTTATCAAATTCAGTACCCCAAATCACTACTTTCCAAGCTGCTGTAGCAGTGTAGTTTGCGGGACCCGCGTGATTGAAGTTTCCATGGGAAGGCAGCCGTCAAGACGTCATACGGAAGTGGGCGTGGTTTAATTATGGATGTATTCCAAGAGCTTTTAGAGTACATCCATATGTTTCATCTAAAGTAGGTTGGAAAATCAATAGACGAAACCGGGGAACACACAGCTGTCTGTGCATCAATCCATTTAAGCATTTTGGTGAGCCTTATGGATGGAGCCTCCCTTAAGATGGAATGTCACAACAACTGATTTAATTTAATTTATTTCACTGAGGGGAAATTAAAGGCCTACCTGACACTGATGAGAACATGCTTTTGAATTCACTTGTAACATTTTTCTTTGGAAAAAAAAAATGTTGGAATGACTGGAGACTTGTCTGGAGACTTGTCTAGTAGGTGTTTGTCAAACAATGACATGTGATCAAACATAAAGCCGTGTTATCTGAGGCATGAGGTCGCTGCCTTTGAGTCTGAGTAGTATGATGCCCTCTAAAGATCTAGAGAAAGCTTTTCACCCCCCTCTTTCTTTGCTGTAGTTGCATAGCAACAGAGGAGCTGCTAGCTCCAGTTGTGTTGGTGGTGGGAGCGTGCTGCACAGGGAGGCACTGGCACGAGATTAAGTCTGTCTCGGCTTCAATTATGAATGGGCTTCCACTGCCACACGGCTCCAAAATGGCACCACTCAAAATGATAAGGCAATGAGGAACTCTTTGGTACACTTAACTCTTACTTCTTTCCCTAAGGGGGAAGCTGAGTTTGACTTTAATCAGAAGTATTGAACTTAAATGATTGGAGGAAGTAAATGAATAATTAACTGGTGGAAGACGCATGGTTATGATAAGACCCTTGTTGATGGGAATATGTGAGGTTAATGATTGGGGTCAGTCTTGAGAGCAAATTAAAGAGTCTCCAGTCTCCACAAAGCTAGCACTTTACCAGTAAATGGGGGTTAGTGTGTGTTGCATGTTGAAGTGGTGAAAATGAGGGGGGTAGAAAGGGTGCTTTCTTGTAATCCTTTACTATTTTTAGCTATGAATGTTGAGCAGAGAAATTGTGAAAATTGCTGCTTTTGTTAGCCCACATGAACTACCTACCAGTGATGCTGTTATTAAATGTGTCATTGTAGCTGACAAGGGTGTTCTATGAGGTGCCCCTAGGGACATTATTCAGAATTACCATACATATACATGTACTTTTCCTCTCACATACACATATGAAACCAAACTCATTCACATACTATACTGAAAAGCTCACACACATACAAGTAAAATGCTCACACACACACAACTGAAACGCTTTCACACACACAACTGAAAATATTACCTTCACACACACAACTGAAAAGCTCACACACACAACTGAAAAGCTCACACACATACAAGTGAAATGCTCTCACACACACAACTGAAATGCTCTCACACACACAACTGAAACGCTCTCACACACACAACTGAAAATATTACGTTCACACATACAACTGAAACGCTCTCACACACACAACTGAAACACTCACACACACAACTGAAACGCTCTCACACACACAACTGAAAATATTACGTTCACACACACAACTGAAAAGCCCACACACATAGAAGTAAAATGCTTTTACACACACAACTGAAACGCTTTCACACACACAACTGAAACGCTCTCACACACACACAACTGAAACACTCACACACACAACTGAAATGCTCTCACACACACAACTGAAACACTCACACACACACAACTGAAATGCTCTCACACACACAACTGAAACACTCACACACACACAACTGAAATGCTCACACACACAACTGAAATGCTCTCACACACACAACTGAAATGCTCTCACACACACAACTGAAAAGCTCACGTACATACAAGTGAAATGCTTTTACATAAACTACTGAAACACTCACACACACAACTGAAACGCTCTCACACACAAACGAAATGCTCACACACATACAAGTGAAATGCTTTTACATACACAACTGAAATGCTCTCACACACACAACTGAAAATATTACCTTCACACACACAACTGAAACACTCACACACACACAACTGAAACGCTCTCACACACACAACTGAAACGCTCTCTCACACATAACTGAAACGCTCACACACACACAACTGAAATGCTCTTACACACACAACTGAAACGCTCTCACACACACAACTGAAACGCTCACATACATACAAGTGAAATGCTTTTACATACACTACTGAAACACTCACACACACAACTGAAATGCTCACACACACACACAACTGAAACGCTCTCACACACACAAACAAAATGCTCACACACATACAAGTGAAATGCTTTTACACACACAACTGAAACGCTCACGTACATACAAGTGAAATGCTTTTACATACACACAACTGAAACGCTCTCACACACACAACTGAAACGCTCACGTACATACAAGTGAAATGCTTTTACATACACTACTGAAACGCTCTCACACACACAACTGAAAATATTACGTTCACACATACAACTGAAACGCTCTCACACACACAACTGAAAATATTATGTTCACACATACAACTGAAACGCTCTCACACACACAACTGAAACGCTCTCACACACACTACTGAAATGCTCTCACACACACAACTGAAACGCTCACGTACATACAAGTGAAATGCTTTTACATACACTACTGAAACGCTCTCACACACACAACTGAAATGCTCACACACACACAAACGAAATGCTCACACACATACAAGTGAAATGCTTTTACACACACAACTGAAACGCTCACGTACATACAAGTGAAATGCTTTTACATACACTACTGAAACGCTCTCACACACACAACTGAAATGCTCACACACATACAAGTGAAATGCTTTTACATACACTACTGAAACACTCTCACACACACAACTGAAACGCTCTCACACACACAAACGAAATGCTCACACACATACAAGTGAAATGCTTTTACATACACAACTGAAACGTTCCCACACACACACACAAATGAAAACCTGACACATACAAGTGAAATTCTATGGCTGGTCCCAGCCAGTGATCCCAGCTTGCACTTCTGGTAAGTTAACATTAAAGCTATACACCAAAACTTTAAACAATGATTTATATGTTATTGACATTATACATAAGATTTAAAATGCCTTAATGATTTTAAGTATTTACTGTAATTGTGGTTTGCAACACCACAATTGTCTAAACGTGAATCAGCTTTAAACTAAGTTCTAACTGTTAAATGTCTAACAAACTATTTGAAGCAAATCAATTAAACCTGAATTCAGATTTTCACATAACTTTAGTTATGAGTCAATAATTTGGATGTCACTTAATTATAGCGTTTCTTTTATTAAGTCAATGGTAAGCTAATGTTAAGTTAAATATGGTAACATGAGCTATTTTGCTTGCATAATGGAAGAGCAGCACTGGATCTCCTCATTGTCCACTGTGGTTTTAAACATCTGTGTTTTATGTCCATTAAAAAAATGGTTTATGGTTCCATTGCAATAAATTCTAAATATATTTATACTTTAGACTTATTTTGTGTTTACTACTGACTGAAAATGTTCATTTTACATTCTGATTGTCAATTGAAAGAACCAGCTCATCATGCAACACAGATAAAACATCGAATATTAAAGCTTAACTCTTTTGCTAAGGGAGAGCAGTCTAGTATAAGTTGAAAAGAGAAATAGTTATGCAGTTTTTTGACATTGTACCTTATACTTGAAGATAACATAGGAGCCTTACACTCAGCAACTAGAGCCAGAGAAGGTTTTGAAGAGTGCCTTGTTTGCTGCTCTCAAGAGAATGAGCACAAATCCAAACAAAACTGGGTAAAGTGCTTAAACAAAGAATGACCTGCTGACTGAGAAATTATGAACCCCTCTATATGTATCATTAATTGCAATGTTGCAAACTCTGAGGTATTCTCAGGCAAGTAGCCCGCACAGAGCAAAAATAAACAATCAGCTGATCGAATGCACTTGTAGCAAATATGTGCTTTCTATCAGTTAATGTTTTTCACCCTTTTGCTTCACTATACACTATACAGTAAGCCAATAAACATGTAATATCCACAAGACCTACTCAAAGGGCACAATAAATGACACCATCTATAGAGCTTCAAAACTATTCAATGTACAGATAATTCTTTTTTTTATGTAACTTCTTAGTGAATGTCACATTTGTCTCTTAAAGAATTTCTCCTTCTCTAGCTCTGCCAGGAGTCTGTCTGGTCAGAGTGCGCCTCCCTATAGCGCCTCCCAGCGCTGGTGTGCTGGCATTTGATAACTAGCAGTGGGTTAAAGCCGACCCATCTGATTAGTTTGAAATTGAGCATATACTTTGGAAGAAATCAAACTATGCGCCGATGCTTGTCAGAAGCAATAAACATAATGCCGTTGTACGATCAACAGTTGTTCGCTTGTATTGTGAGATGTGTGCTTTTATTTAAACAACTTCCTGTTCAACTGAAATGCCTTCCTTTTTAACTGAAATGCCTTCCTGTTCAACTGAAATCCTCTCATACAACGTACTGAAATGCTTTTATATACATTTTACTTGAGTGTGTGTGAGCGTTTCAGTTGTGTGTGAGAGCGTTTCAGTTGTGTGTGTGAAGGTAATATTTTCAGTTGTGTGTGTGAGAGCGTTTCAGTTGTGTGTGTAAAAGCATTTTACTTTTACGTGTGTGTGAGCTTTTCAGTGTAGTATGTGAATGAGTTTGGTTTCATATGTGTATGTGAGAGGAAAAGTACATGTATATGCATGGTAATTCTGAATAATGTCCCTAGGGGCACCTCATATTGAATAATGTCCTTAGGGGCACCTCATAGTGTTCAGCTACAGGTATTCTCTTTGATCATGGTTTTCATGTTTGATCCAAGTCCGGCAAAAGAAACACCCAAACTAATCTTCTGCAACTTGTATTTTTTATTATTGCAACCAACTGGAAGACAATACATCACATAAACATCATTGCAGTTTTTCAGAAAATGGAAAACAAAATAAAACAACATTTATATATTTTTTGCCACGGTATTGGACAACGTTGATATTTACATGTAGTGATGAAATAGGTCTTGAAATCATTCTTTGGCAATATGATTGCACAACAAGGAGAGAATTGAACATTTACTGAAAAAAAAACAACACCTGGGTGTACTCCGCATCACATCTCACAGATCGATAACAGGTTTGCATTTTGACATCTCTAACCTATGGCTTTCCAATATTCAGCTCAGACAGTCTCCCAAAAAATAATGGCAGTATTGTAGATAATTTTGTTAGAGAGAAAACAGAACAGAAAATGCACATAAAACAACAAACAAAAAATGGCAACTGTTTTTTAAGAGCATTTCACTGTATGTTTGGCAGGTTTGAAAGAAACACTTGTTTTAGGGGGCTTCTCAGGCAGTATGTTTCATTTGCTTTAAAATGTTCCACATATATTCTATGTGTTGCTCTGTTTTTCCAGGACTGGTAGGTCAAGCGTTCATCTTTCCTGCATGTCACTGAGTCAGAGGAAAAAAGGTGGTTGCTAAAGCAACACATTCATCCCTCAACATGCCTCTTGCCAGCTGAACACGTTATTAGTCACCACAACAGTGGATTGTTACTGCAAGTACAGCAGAGTGCTTGACCTGGGCCGCGGGAGCACTCAGACAGATATCAGACGAGAGACGGATGGCACACAACACGAACACTGACAGTGTCTCCTTTTAGCCTTTTTTATATGTCGGCATGGATACCATACAAAATGCAAAGCCAGTGATGCATGCTACAGGTGGCAAAAGACTGTACCAGTGGATGGGACATGCATTTGTTTGCCTGCTTGGCTCGCTGACAATCACTCAACAGCTTAAACAAAACCATGTCTGACTCTGCTGCTACAACCAAACTCAGCCCATGTTTTCTCCTATAAAGCTGCTTTTTTATTTGCACTGCATCTGTGTAAGTGGGGGGAAATTAATACTTTAATTCATTCCTGTTTCAGTGAAAGCATGCCAAATAATGGCAGTGCAGTATCTATATCACCTCTGATGCAAAAATGTCAGCACTCAGTACTGTCCTTGTGAATTTCAATCAAGTCAGTGTTTTCATGACCATAAGTGAGATACACATACGTCTTGGCAAAATAGTAAAAAACCCTCTGATCTTCAGATTGGTCTCTTAAGATAAATATGTGATAGACTGTATGCAAGCTTGACATCCACAATGGCAGGTAATTCCTTAACAATACTGTATGTAAATCAAAAATTTATTCCATCTCCTACATTCTCTCTTCCTTTTCAATTCAACTCCAGAGTAGCCTTTTTTTTTGAGATATGAGGTTCTTTCAGGGCACCTACAAAGTTTCCCAAGCCCGTCTGATCCATACTTTTACACTGAACAATGTTGATGGAAAATAAGGACACATGTACATTTACACACAGGAGAGAGAGAAAAAACCAATACTGTTATAAATAAAGACAGGTAACTTTCTGTCAAAACATGTCAGAGACATGACAACAGAGGTACTGAGGGCAGGCAGGCAGGCACAATGTTAAAGGGTGTGTGTTCCTGGGCACACAAACTCACACACTCTACAGATGTGTTCTGAAATAACACTGGGGTTAACACTGAACACCTAAAAATCACTGTACAGGCAGAAGAAGACGGAAGCCCACCCCCAAGAGGTGATTCAGCTGGCGTACATAGCCTGAACCCGAAGCCCAGAGGTGGCACCCTCGGGCCTCTAATTGCAGAGTGATCTCCCACATTCCTCCCTGAAGACGTGTCTTTGAAAGCCCGTTCAGAAAAAAAAAGAACCCAAAAGATTCAAACAAACAAACAAACAAACAAACAAACAAACAAAAAATCCAATATAATCACGGGTATAAGAATTGGCGGCAAAACTTTTTTCTTTCCTCTAGGATCAAGGTTTATATGAAAATAAGTCATGCTTCATGCTAAATACATTGTTTATCTTACATGATCTTTGAATAAAAAAGATTTGCTTTTTATCTTATTTACAAGCACCCATGCAATATAACTGAGAAAGTCCTGCAGGTCAAATTGCTTCAATTAAGAAAGGAAAAAAATAAAATATTTTCTAACCTTTTTACAGAGTTGTCCACACGGGACAAATTGCTTATATCTTTATGAGGGTAGAGTGAGGGTAAACAGACACAAACAGAAATCTAAACCCACAGTTTATGTATATAGTTCTTTGACCTTGTCAAATGAATAGGAAGGTGTGGTAGCTACTGGTAGCTACGATATCTATACCAGGTGTCTACGTCTATGAACAGAAGTACTGGGGAAGTTTTAGGGACGTTTACATTATGCAACAACAACAACAAAATGAAGGAGATATTGCCTCAGACCCGGCACACTATCCATCGCTATGGTGATAAACATGACCTTTTTTTTCATTTTAAAATATCTATTCTTAAATACTATGAGTGCTCTTGAAATAAACCATGTCTTTACCCATGATGCATCTATTATAAGTGGCGTTAAATAATCTTAAGTGCATGAATATATATCACATTGGGTTTTACAATTATTTTGACACTCAAGGTCATTCTCTCTTCTTTACTACTATGCATTCCTTTTTTTTTTGTCAACTGTCGTATCGGCTACATGAAGCAACCTGGTCGCTTATCTTTGGCACAGTCTCACATTTGTGCTCGTGGATGTAGGAGAGTGATGCCAGTGAGCGGCCGAGAGAGCTCTAAGTCTTGTTAAATAGGCTCTGCCGTCATTGCTGGCATCACTGCAAGATTGCTACAGATTCACATTGAAAAAAACAGGTAAGACAAACAGCCATCTTTCGTGTTTATGTACTGTACGCTCCTCAATGTGATTCAGTTTTGTTGTGTTCAACTTGTCCAAATTAGTGACAAAACAATGCTTTTTTATGGCTTTCATCCCCTTTTAAACAACAAAAACAACAAAGACACATGAGAAATACCCATTGATGTTAGTGTTGCTGAACATGTAGGAAAACATAGATTTTTGATATTGCCACAAATAAGTAGGATTCACCTAATGCCCTGCAGATAGATAGAGGGAGATGAGAAGTGTCCGTTGAGACTAATGCTGTAGTAACGTTACCTGTTGACCTATTTGTGTTTTGTATGTGTGTGTGTGTGTGCGTGCTTTGAGCTGTATACTGTCCGTGTGTGTTTGCATGACTATGTACTTTTTCTACGTGTGCGTCTTAGTTTCTCAGGGCCTCTTTCTGCTCCTTCTGGCCCTTGGCGGTGCGGTTTGTGATGTTGTTGAGGCAGGCTCTGACCCCCGCCAGGTGGAGCAGCGACCCCGCTGCCTCCTTCATCTCCTCGTCGTCACTCTCCGGCGGCTTCTCCACCGCCGCCGCGCGCCGTTTCTTCAGCGGCAAGGTGTCGCTAATGCCCCTCGCTCGGTTTTTGGTCCAGGGCAAACTGCTTCCTGCCAGAGTCCCAGCTCCTGCCCCTGAACTACGTCTCTGTCCGCGCAGGGCCTGCTGGGAAATGTAGGTGGCGGCGGCAGTGGTGACGTGAGAATCCAGCGGGATCTCCCGGGGCTCGGGTTTGACGTCTGATTGGATCTCTACGGCGATGATATCGTCGTCGTCGTCCAGGAGGGAGGAAGGGGTGGCGACCTGGGAGGAGCACAGCCTGCTGGGGGATTTGGCGGTGCTGTAAGTGTGGTCGTCCTGGAGGTCCTCGCTGCAGGGCGGAGGAGTGTAGCGCGATGGGCTGTCCTGTCCTCGGCTTAGATAATCTCCCAGGGATGATCTGTATGAAGCAAGGACACAGAGTAGGAGAGAATTTTGTTACTCCTGCTGTCACACAGCAGCCAGGTGGCCTGCCTGTATACGCTTCACTCCACTGAAGCTGCTCCAGTTTGCTCTGCATTTGCCCAGAAAGCAAAAAAAGTTCAAGTAATATATATCTATCACCCTCAAATAGCCCCCATGGGCCTTAATGTGCATATTTCTCAGGTCAGATTAAAACCCTGTATCTCCATAAAGAGTCAGCCTTTCCTTTTTAGAAATGAGCAGACTCATGGTGAGATTGCCACCTTTGCATTTCTCAAATGACACAGTGCATTTTGAGCAGCTCTTGTGCCCTCTAAGGTTGTGAAACTTGCTCAGCACATAAAGGACCTTTCCAGCTTTAAAGTCAGAACGACACAGAATCACGATTCTGCAGCGGAGCCATTTAACCACTGTCTGCTATACATCAGCGTCCACATTATATCGCAACACATGTTTTGCTCTATTAGTCAGAAGAGACTTTTCTCTGTAAGGCATTAAAGGACAGGGGTGTAGTCTGACAACCAATAAATCAAAAGGAGCTTCAGCAGCGTGCCCTGTCCCCCGGACATTTTCTCCCTTCAGAATGAGAGGGTTCGCATATTAATATCTTATAAGAAAAACATGCACTCCTTACAGTGATCAAATATTCACTGCATACCTTTATGGAGACTTTGAGCATGTTTAATTCATTATGCAGTGCAGGCCATCATACTCTTATGCTCCTATGATGGATGTGCATGTCCATGCATGCTCCGAATGTTCTTTGAATCATGAGGCCTCTCCTTCTAATAAACCTGTTTGTGTGTGTGCGTGTGACCATTAAATAAACACACCTGGATAAAATGTTCTGAACTATAGGGAGTGTGTAAGTGCCTCAGACATTTGGACACAATAAATAAATTATTTAAATGTTGGTGCGAGATCTGTGTTTGTTTTCTGTGTTTGTTTGCAGGCTTCTGTGTGACTGTGCACTTGGATGTAGGTGTGTCCGTGAGGTAATGTGTTTGCGCAGGGAAAGCCCTGACTGACATTAATTCTATGGTTGAGGGCAACAGGAGCAAAGTATACCCACCTTATGGCCGAGGTTCTGCTCCCCACAGGGCTTACAGGTAGGGGTCTTATCACAGGGAAGAGTGCCTGGCTCCTGACACGGGTGCCATTTTGGATCACTCCACGAGGAACTATATAAGAGAGAGAGCAGCAGATACAAACATTTATACTCACTGATCCATGCTACTTTTGTCTCTTGCATCACACAAATCAGTTTCAAAGGAGGAAAGAAACAGAGGAAGCTTCTCCAAAATCTGATCGGACCTCGATAAGACCCGGGAGCAGTTCGATAAGCATTCACTGACCGTCTGAGGAGGCCAACAGGGCAATATTGATGAGCAAGGCAAGGTTAAATTGAGCGGGAAAGCGTCATAAATGAGTTAAGGCCGTTGTGAATCATTCAATTACTAACGACCGCTGGGTTCGGCTGAATCCAGCCTTTCTGATGCTGCGGGCTGGACAGCAGGTGGCTGGAGCTTAAAGGGGGTTACCACCAATTTTAAAATCTGTGAGCAATGACACATTTGTCCTGTTTAAATCTAAAACTCATTAAATGTAGTTTTTTTTCAAGCAATACTCCAAATTAACAGATCAAAAAGGTTTTAGAAATGTTTAAAACTCAAGTATTTAAGTATGCTCTTAATTTGTAGATTGTTTTCTTGATAAATTGTCCATAAAATAACAAAACATTCCCATCACAAGTTAGCAAGTTGCCATATTAAAATTGGTTGTTTCTCTAGAAGCCAAAAATATTCAGTTTAATGACATGGAAGACTCCAAATATCAACAATTACTAATACTGAAGGAATTGGCATTTTGGCTTAAAAATGACTTAAACGATTAATTGACTAATAAAATTGTTGTCAACTGTTTGAGCTCTATTCAGATACATCATTTCCTTTTACCTCTACCATTGGCACTTGGGTGCACTAGCAAGGAATTAGAAATGCACACATCTGTCTTAATCACGCCCCACAGTTCACTGTGAATGTCAGAGTAAAAAGTTAAAGGAGCGCTCAATAGACCTCCAGGATCAGACTGTGCTGAGACGTACATTTGGGAAAGAGTGCAGAAAACTGCTAAAGTATTCAAAGTCAGCAGGAGCACAGTGGGCTCCATCATTCACTGCAACTACCAAGACTCTTCCAAGAGTTGTCCATCTGGTCAAAAGTAACATGGCCCAATGACCATGCTAACCAATTTTCTTTCTCAGAAGGACTCTCCAGCACTCCATCTAAATGCCATTTTACTCCATTGAATAAATAGGCATATGGCAACCCTCCTGGAGTTTACCAAATAGTGCTTTCTCTGATCTAATGAGACAAAAATTGAATCCTCGGGTCTGAAACCCAAGCCTTTCCACTGGCAAAAACCAGGCGCTGCTTACTGCCTGGCTATTACCTGGTGTCACTACACACTGCGGCACGATGTTGGCACCATCATACAAACGGAGCCACCTACAGACAGATCCTTGAAGAAAACGCCACCGAATGGGGCAAAGATTCACCTTGCAGCAGCACAAGATCCTGAACCACACATTGAGCATAATGGACTGGCTTTGGAACAAATCCCCGAACATCCTCGAGGGGCCCAACCAAAGCCTGGACTTGAAGCCATTTGAAAATCTGTGGGGAGACCTGAAGATCATGGTTTACCAACCCTCCTAATCCAATCTGACAGCTCGTAGATACACGACTTAAAGCTATACTCATTGTCAGTGCATCTTCTGCGTACTGTAGTAACATTTCAGTTTTTTACTGTGAATATGTGTGCATTAAAGGAATAGTTCAGCAGTTTGGGAAAATACGCTTATTTACTTTCTTGTTAACAGACTGGCGAGAAGATTACAGTGTGTGTGTGTGTGTGTGAGCTCTTGAGGTGCTGGGATGCAGAATTTCGTTACCTTTGGACAGAGCCAGGCTAGCTATTTCCAGTCGTTATTCTAAACCATGCATATTTACTGTACAGAGTGGCATCAATACTCATATGTAACTCTCAGCTAGAGAGTACATTTTCCCAAAATATTGAACGATTTCTTTAAAATTTCACTTTGCCATAATGAATTAGGTTTATGCGTAGAATACTGGTGAAACAGAACTTTAAGAATTAAACTTTTAATAAAGACCCACTTGATGAGAAATTCATTTAAGGTTTCACCGTGTCCGGGGGGATTTCTGAAGATGTCTCAGTTTAAAAGCCACTTTAGAATCAAACCACCAAATAATAGTCTGTTTCTTATGCAGCTTCAGATTTTCCATCAAGGTCAAAGTCTTGACTATGGTTTTCCACTTGTGGAATGACCTAACCATTTTTCACAAATACTGAATGGACTGTGAAAGACAGACCTACAGTATCTATATCCCTTCAACTCTGCAACAGCTGTGAATCTATGACTATATATTTATCAGCTGTGTTGCAGGGATAAGATAATCGAAGAGAAGAGAAGAAAGAAAGACGAGATGAGTGTATGTGTACATCTTAGCCAAAAGCTCTCATTACTTAAGGCTGGCTGCTCACCACAGCCATCCCAGTTCACTAAAACAGCTGTCACTTTCATCTCCAGGGTCAGTCTGCATTTCGCAAATGATGACCTGCTGTTTGCTTTGTCTGCCACAGAAGCATTTGTTGAGGTGCGAATCCTAAAAACGTTTTACCACAGCATTAATATACTGGATCTTAAACTTGACTATTTTTTGCATTGTGGTTTTAAGTCTCAGTATATTTATGATTGATGTTATAAAGAGAAATTTAATTCGCCCCAAGAACCACAAGGCTCATTAAAACATACAAGTTGTCATGGCGAGGCCCCCCAGAATATTTAGTTCATGTTCTAACACACAAAGATGAATTATGATAGATCTGTTTGTCGTTTGTCATTGTTGGTGTGTTTCTATAGCTTTTCCCCCAGCCGGCTGTGTCCACAGTAATCTTATTGACTCCAGTTAGTGTGGCTCTGCCCCTGATATCTCCAGCTCTGCTCTCCATAACCTTATAAGTAGGTCCCTGCACAGAGTCTCTTTTATAATCTTGATCACTCGCTGCATGGTTGTGTGTGTGTGTGTGTGTGTGTGGGCAGTGCATTAGGTCTCCCCGGGTTGATTTGCTCCCGCCCCTCCTTCCCCACTTCACTCCAGTCAGGCTTTGGGTTGCCATAGCAACGGCTCCCCTTCCACATGCCACAGAGTGGTAGATCATGCATCAGCACAGAAATGATAGAAAAAAGCACAGAGAGGGAGAGAGAGAGAGAAAAGAGGGAAAGGAAATACCAAGCTCTGTTTGACACGGCCTCTCATAGCTCGGCGACACTCCTGACCACCTTTGTTTACCCTAGACACACACACACACACACCCCTCCTTCTTAGCACAAGTGCAGACAACTGTCCTCTTATGTGTGTGTTCTGTATCTTCACCTCTTCGCTTTGCTGTTTGAATTTCTCAGCAAACCCTTCTCTTTGTCTTTCTAATTCGGACCTCTCTTGTTGATCCCCCCCTCCGTCGATCTCGTCGTCATTCTATGTATAGTGGTGACTCATATCTTCAGCTGAGCATGCACGCCGTCTCTGCAGGTAAAAAGCCCGGGACATATGCTAAGGAGACGAGGTGACAAACTAAGCAGGGAAGGAGCAGGCAGCCCGACCCCACTCGCTGAGATTGAGCAATACATTTTACAAGCTCAAAGCAATAAAACAAAGAAAAGAAAAACACTCAGCTTGGTAGCAGCAAGCAGGACGCGCTAAGGAAAAAAAAAGTAAATACAGAAGAGAAGAGGTGTCTGTCTGCCTTTTTCCTGGAGAGAAAAAATCCTCTAGTCTGTCTTTTTTCCTATGCCTGCTCAGCTGCTCTGCCTTTCTGTCTGCTTCCTACGTCTTCGCCCGCCGCCCGTCTCCCTGCCTGCCTGTTTTCCAGGGCAAGCAAAGCCCTCAGCCTCCCTCCCCTCTCTCCGCTCTCATGTGCCGTGTACGCACTCAGCCTCCCATGCTCTCCTGTTAAATGAGTTCCACATGGCCCCGCAGGCTGCAGTCTCTGCACGGCTGGCAGAGGAGTGGAGCAGATAGGCACACACTCACTCACACTGAACTCACTCGCACAGTCCAAAGGTTCAAAGGTCACTCCCAGCGGACCTTGAGAACACAACCGTTTGAACCCCCTTTCCCCAATCTATCTGTTTGGCTGCTGTGTGTTAAACTGAGTAGAGTCAGAGGGCAGGATGCATACTAATGTTGTCTGAGTGACGGACTGACTGATCGACTGGTCTGAGAACGCCGGTAGTTTTACTAGGTGGCTAACTAGTTTGTCTATCTGACACTCCATCTGAGCGTCCAAGTGGCTGGCTGGCTGGCATGAGCTATGACTTGAAGGGGGGGGGGAGACACAATAAAAGCAACACTTGCTTATTGTATCTTAATAAGCCTTTTAAACACAGCGACAAACATGGGTCATATCAGGCTGAACGCTAACCAGCCGAACACCTCTGCTCCTACATCCTTGCTGGTTGGATTCAACTTTTACTTTCCGTACTTTTGATGCATCTGCCTGAATTTTGTCACATTTTCTATGATTTTCAAGTGCAAACGGGCTCCCTGGAAATCTTTTTATTAATCTGGTATTGCTTTGAAAAGGGGCACTCTATCGATTTTTCACATGAAGTTCAGTTAACTCGTCAGTTCTACTCGGTCAGTGGAAACTAACTGTATAATGTTTTCTGTGGCTCTGCAGGGAGCTTTGTCAAGTCTGAAAAAAAAAAACCTGTTGATGTCATCAGGGTTTGTAGTTGTGCTTAAGTCATTACAGATAGTTTTAGTGAAGTGTTTCCAATATTTTGTACTTTGACTGAGTGTTGTACTCAGAGGTATTCAGATACTTTAATTAAATAAAAGCAGCAATATCACAATGAAAACGTAACTAAGGACATTTACGCAAGTCCTGTAATTAAACACAGATACAGCATACAAGTACTTTTACTTCACTACATTTCAGGTGGAAATATGGTCCTTTTCAGTCCACTATATTTAGTTTACACCTAGTTACTTTGCAGATTAAGATTTCACACTAGTTATAAACATGCTGTATGATCAGTATATAAAATATGATGTAAAATGAAATAAGGAGATGTGATAAATGTAGTAACAAACAGAGCACCACCTTGATCAGCTACAACATTAAAAAGCTGTTTGCACCAGTAATAATATTATAATGTTAGAATAAAACCCTCTGAAAGGGGCCATAATGTGTAATGCATACTTTTACGTTTTGGTATTTTAAGTACATTTGTTAATTTTACACAACACATTTTGAATGCATGATTTATTAACTACTTGTAATGTGAGTGTATATTTATATAGCAGCATTGATACTTTTACATTAGCAGAATATCTTAAGTAAAAAATGCAAGTATCATCAACAAAATGTACTTAAGTATGAAAAGGAAAAGTACTCAATATGCAACTGATGCATTAACATGTGAGAAGCAATTTATATCGTTGCTAGTAGTACATATTTTACAACAATGTAACAATGCATCATTAGAGGTCGAGGTCAAATCTGACTGCACAGTGACTACTAATTGTGGAGTTAAAAGTAAAATATTTCCCTGTAAAATGTCACTGAGTATGTAGTATATTAAGTCTGATGTAGCATGAAATGACGTATTCAAGTAAAGTACCTTGAAATTGTACTTGTGTAAATGTACATTGTCTCTTTCCACCACTGCCAATTCAATTCATCTGCTATATTGTCTGAAATATTTATAATAGTGACTGTTCTCTAGCTATCTGTAGTTGCTATAAAATAAAACAAAAACCTCTTCAATCTAAAAAACTAAAAAAACTCTTAAGTCTGACCTTGTCTGCCATCTGAGTAGAATATTTACTGTTCTGCTAGAGTTGAAGGGAAGTCATTTGTAAATAAACCAGACGTAAACCCAATATATGTTTGAACCTTAAAGTGGTTGTGATGTGCTGATATTCTGCAATTAAACAGCTGGTCAATTTTTCTATTAACTTGGACACACCCTTCCTTTGCAGCTGACAGGCTAATAAAGCCTTAGAACAGGTTTCTAAATTGATCCAATTGGAAAAAAAGGTTCCTTCTTAAATGAAAGTACTTAAATAAAATAGGAAAACTTAGACCGAGCAGATCCTTATATAATTTAGAGCTATTAAATGATGAACTTTGGGGTGATGGGTTGGATTAAGGACACAGCTGCCATGTATTGTCCTTGTGTTCATCCTGAGCCGGTGCTGGGCCACAGGGAGAGGCAGATTTCAGCCCACATCAGCTCAGAGCGGAGCAGCTCTGAAAGCTCTGGGAATGGGAGATGGAAGTAATAACAGAGGGCACTAACAGCCCCAAACTCACTCTCTCTGGCAGTCCCCGTCCCCCCTCCTTGTCTTTGCCTCTGGCTGTCTGTCACAACTTTCCTTCTCCCTGCTGCCTCTGAATGTCACGCCTGACCATTCTGCACCCTCTCTCCCTTCAAAAACACATTTATAAAGTTTCCTTTTCCTGTCTCTCCTTGTCATATGTGCACTCTGTGGCGGTCTTCCTAACTATCTCCCTCTCTATCTGACCATCTGTCCAGCACGCTCAGACACATCACTCTCAGATTGTGTGTGTCTAGAGGGAGTCCAGGTTTTCAGACACTCTCTCCAACCTCGGCTCCTTGACCATTACTACTCCATTATCAGTGGCGATGGAGGGCGCGCCGCAGACGCCTAATGTATCCATTTCCCCCTCCATTTAGGACTCGGCAGCCCAGCGAGCTCCCGGAGTGCTCCCTGATTGGGATTGAATGTCCATTTAAACTGCCGTCCAGCCACCAGGGAGGAGGTTGAGGGGGAGAGGAAGAGGAGGAGAGGGGAGGAATAATGGGAAATACAGGGAAAAGGAGGTGTATAAGAGTAAAAGAGTGAGACTGTATATTGTGTTGAAAGAGTAAAGGAGGCATGGGGAATGCTCCCCAGCCTCTGATTTGAAGCTGAGATTTTCTCTCCCCTCTCTTTCTTTCTTTCCCTCTCTCACTTGCTGCTTCTCTATCCCTTCTTTTCTTTTTCTTTTTTCTTTTCCTTTTTCCTTTCAAATACGCCTCCGTAGAAAAAGCATTCCTCCTCTGGCACCAAGCCAAGTGTCAGAACTCAGCACTCGGTATTCTCAAGGTGCGCTTCTAAAAAGAGGGATTTGGAATTGAGATGATTGGAGTTGGCACATCCGTAGAAGGTGGAGGTGGGGGGGGGGGGGGGGGGGGGGGACAGAGAGAAACAGCAAGAAAGAAAAAAAGAAAGAAACAGGCTGAAGATCACACATATACAGTACAAGTACTTGCAGAGGTGAAATGGTACCTTGTAGGAGAACTCCTCCATTCTTTCTGAAGAGGGGACTCCCCGACCACAATGGAGGACTAGAAAGATAAGGAGACGAAGGGATGGGGGGGAGAAAGACAAAACTGGTCAATCATTTGATCATGTTGCAGCAGCCAACCAGCCCAGCAGGCTTCATCACGAGGCAGATAGAAAGGCAGGAATTTGAGCCCATAAGCCAGTGCTTCTGATTATAGTGATTAGATTCCCGGGTGTCCCACTGTTGCCATTATTCCCTGTGATTACCTCGGAGAATTACAGCCTCGCCGCTGTAGTCCATGGGGGTAATTTCTCATGACAACCCCCCACCACCACCACCACCCCCACTGGTCCATTCACACACATGTTCAATAAAATAAAAAAAAGCCTCATCAACGCACACACATTTAACTGGAGCTCACGTCACACGGGCATGTTTCAGACAGACGTGCACAAAGTGTGACACATTAAAACACGCGCCTATAGTCTTATCGCACTTGCAGCAAAGACACACGCACACACACACACACACACAGAGGAATACACAAAGCCGGGGACTCGGTTTAGGTGATCATTGCACCACTAATGAGGGAGGTAATGACGGCATTTCTCACATAGACAGAGACATCTTTATGCACACACAAGAAGACAATAGATACAGTGCTGCTGGTGAATCCTTAATTTTAAGACAGAGGGAGAACGATGGAGAGATAAGGAAAGAGAATGGGGGGGGGGGGGGCTTCCAGGTTGAGTGGTCTTTAGCTCCCCATTAGACAACACGTCAGACTGCTCATTTCTTTCTCTCTCTGTAGCTAGATGGCCAGTTCTCAAACACAGTCGCTGTGTGTCTGACAATATGGATCTTGGTTATATGTAAACACACACACACAGACACACACACAAAAGGACAGAAAACACCAGGGGATGCTGTGAACTCTGAAAAAGCAACCCACTCGTGGTTTCCACTCATCAAGAGAGTTTCCTTTGTAATGTGAGTCCTGTTTTATGTTCTGCTAAGCTGCTGAATGAGAGGATTTGGACGTGTGCACTTGTGATGTGGCTCTCACCTCACCAGATGCAGGGGAATAACGGTCTCTCACACACACACACACACACACAAACAGACCACATGGTTGCACACTCACACACACACTATCCTATACATGCACACACACTCACACAGCAGTACAAAAAGGCAAAAGCAGCGAACGCAAATTTCAGCCCTGAGCCACCTGCTGTTGCCATGGAGAGTTGCCACATTGCGTTGCCACGGCGATAACATATTTTTCCTGCGCTAACAGCCTGTCTGTTTTCCCCACCCCCCAACACCCCCACACATCTCAGTCTCCCCCCTCTCTCTCTGTTTTCTCACTCATTCTTTCCATCTCTCTTCCCAACCCTGCGCTCTCTCTCCTTCTCTCTCTCCCTCTCTCTCTCTCACAGTGCGACAGAACCTGCCTTATACTACATGTGTTGCCATGGCGGCGTTCCCGTTGCCAAGGCGACTCTGTGCATTTAATGTAGTGGGCGAGGGGCTAAACTCGTGGCAGACGCTCGTTCTGCAATCCCCCCCCCCAACTTCTCCCCTCATTTTATTTCTCCAAGGGAGGGTGGGAGGGATAGAAATAGAGGGAGAGATGGAGGGAGCTCCTCCCCAACCCCCTTGAGACACCCTTCCCGCCTTCCATCCATTCTACCCTCCCCTTCTCTCATCCAGATGCTGATGGGGTGTGAAGGAATGCACCATGGAGCTGACCTCCTACCCAGCATGTTCTCTCTCTCTCTCCCTCTTTCTCCTTTCCACACACACACACACACACACACACACACACATAGCCTTGCATATGTCAGACACCCATTTGGAAATGCATGCACAGGATACTTTCAATTACACACAGAGTTGGACTGAAACACAGAACAAGCATGGAATAACACACACACACACACACACACACACACACACACACACACACACACACACACACGTGCACCCACTTAAATCTGCAGGTGGGGGTCGAGTGGAGCGGTGTGAGTTATTACGGTCCATGAAAAACCAAGAGGTGTGAGTGACAAAGAGTAGAGGACAAAGAAGCATCATCGCTCTCTCCCTCTCTTCCCTCCCTCCTTTCTAATCTTCTTTCTCCCGTCCTCACTCTGCAGCTTTCTCTCTCGCTCTCTCTCGGTTCATCTTGCACTTCTGAGTTGTGTAGATCTGCTTGAGACAGTCCTTGACCTTAAAATAATAGACATGCTGTGCAACCATTCACAGTCATTACACTTCATAACATAATATTCTTGAAAGTGAGTGCTCTTGAGAGAGATATTGTATTATATTGATTGGACCTTCTGAGTTCCAAGATATATAAAGAGGATATGGATATAAATATGTAAAGACTGGACATTTGATTTAGTGCATCTGTTTTAGTATTCTTCTGACTGAATTTATTTATTGTTATTCCATAAACTTCAAATCCAAACCTTACGATTCACTACTACTAATTTCATACAGTATACCAAACAATTACCATGACCTTAAAGTTATATGTGATGGCTTTTTTATAGTAAAGTTTTTACATTTGCACTTTTAATTGTGTTGTTGTTAACGCTTGTAAGATTTAACAGAGCATTTCTGTTAACTGCACGATCTAGTTTCGAATCAAAGTCCGCTTACTAGCTTCCCCCCCCAGACTTTAACCCACATGCATGGTCTTCATCAGCGGATGGAGTTTTATTTTGTCATGCAAAACTTTTTGAATTAAATCATCCATCTTCTTAACAACTATAAGCTATGGTCAAGTCTGTGTGATACAGTAGAAAGCTCAAGGAAAAGACAGTAAGGGGACCTTGAGTGGACATAAGTTGTTTTTTTTATCAATATAACTTACAGTACAACTTTTGTGCCATTCCCCATGCACATTTTGAGCTACTGTGACTTGGAAGCTCCAGGCAGAACTCCTTTGTTTATTGTCTAACATCATTAAAAGTGTAACAGACTGCAGTTGCAAATTCTGACCTTCTGTCCACAGTGCCCCTATTGTGCCAAGTTATTACACAGAGCAAAGGGTGATATTAATTATCCATAGCCTATTGAACCCTGATTTTCCCCTTTAATTCACCACTTTAATGTGGCTTTAGAGTTAGAAAATACCATAAATTTCTCCATGCTGCTTATATTGAACCCAAGATAGTACTAAATTAAATAATTTTCACTCTTGCACCATTAAATCAAATAGAAATATTACAGATCATGTGTACAATGTATGCACACATTTTACTAATTCAGCCTGACATGGTTAATATCTTTGGAAACCTTGAGATGTGGATCCAGCAGCACTGCTGTGTGATGGAGCAGCAGCACAATGTTGCTGGAGAGGTTAAAGGACCATACAAGTGGTGTTCATGTCTTAGCCCATTAGCAACAAATTGTGCATACTGTACATGCTGTGCCTGCGCTTTACGTTGCTGCTGGCTAATTTCTAAAGCACACCATAAATTCTTAGATTGATTTTCTACTTTCCAGGCAGACGCTGCTTTCCATTAATCTAAGGATGATATACAAAAAGTCAACTCACAGATCCTTCAAAGAGGCTTGTTATTCATTCATACAGCAGATAACATTTAGAAGCCTTTATATGTTTTGTCAAAGTTGTAGTTGAAAGCGGTGACTTTTTAAAAGCTCTGCTGTTCAAGGATTCAAGTATGTTCAAGGGTGCTTTGACATCCAAGAGTCAAAAAGTATTTCTTTTGCCCAGACAAAAAGACACAAAAAAAAGAGCAAAAATGGAGGCTATGAAAAGGCTAATGTAAATTTGGTAATTTCTTGCATTAGAAAGTTTGCTCACTCTCTGTTTTTTGATGTTGGAGACCACTCACATGCAACAAATCCCTGCTAATAACCGCAAGCAACTGTAACAAAAAAGGCAACAAAAGATAAATTGTGGTGGATTTTTGTATTTCAAGTTTCCAACCTCTGCATGACTCTGTTGTTGTCAAATAACTATTTAGATCGATATATAATAGATATTTGATTGATAATTTCTTTTAAAGCAAAAACAGCCGTCATTCTTTGGTTACAGCTTCTTCTCTTGAGGATTTGCTACTTTTTATTTTAATTAATCGGTCAATTGAGAATATAATTGTCCGATTAATTGATTATGAACATAACTGCTTTTTGCAGCATTAATTGAAACCAGTGGCTGCCAGGAAGGTTGGATAGAACACACACACACACACACACACACACACACACACACACACACACAAATACACACACAATGCATGCTCTTCAGGTGCTGCATCTCTAGGGAATCTGGGCTCCACTCTAACCAAGAAATGGACTCTCGCTTTTTTTCCCATTTTGCACTGTGAGTCACAATGCAAATGAACACCCCCTCCCCTCACTCCCCCCATACACCGACCTCTCCTCACTACTCCCCGCCTCCCCTTCCTCCTCATGTTCCGAATCCGGCCTCCAATTTGTTCCACTTCCCCATACCTCATTGTTCAAAATGACACTTTTACATTTTATGGTGAACCAATTATTCTGTCTTACACAGTCCACTGGCTCTGCGAGCCAACCTGCCCGGATCAGCTGGGGAGCGGGGTGGTGGTGGTGGTCGGGTATTCGGAGAAGGAGAGAGAGAAGGAGAGAGAGAATGAGAGAGATGGAGAGGGAGAAAGAGAACAAGCGGAAGAAAGGGAAAAAAGATGACTAATAGTACATCTAGCTGACATATCCACAGGGATGGGCAGAAGAACTGGAAACCGAGAAATTAGCAAAGGGAGAGGATGGAGGGTGGAGGAGAGGTCAGAAGGGGAGAGGAAGGGAGTGTGGAGGAAACAACACAGGTGGATGGAGGGAGGTGTGTGTGGGGCGTGTGAGCGAGGGGTTGCAGAATGAAGTGAACGTAGACAAAGGAGGATTTAATTGAATGATAAAGTGGTGGAGAGAGAGTGAAAGGAGTGGAGAGAGAGAGAGAATAAATCAGAGCAGGGATAAATAAAGAAGACAGAGTACTGGGTGCCCCACTAGTTGTAATGTATGCCTGAGGATGAGGATGAGCGGGAGGGTGTGTAGGACATTAAAAGAGGAGACAAGAGAGTGAGAAGAGCGGAACGGAGGAGTGTTAGGAGCCGCAGGAAAAGGCAGAACAGGGGAAGGACAGGGAAGGCTGGGGAGAGGGTGAGGGTGTTAACATGTAGAGAGAGAGAGAGAGAGAAAAGACAACCAGCGCTTTTACCTGTTATGAGCCTGAGGGGGAGGGAGAAAGGAGGAGGGATGAGAGTGTTGTTGCATGAAAACAGCGTGCTAAAAGGTTTAAAGAACGGATGAGGTGGGTCAGCTATATAACGCCTGGGGCCAGGTGGGTGGAGAGAGCAACATATGGAGAGAGAAAGACAGAGGAGGTGAGGTGGAGGAGTGTATATATTTCATGTTTCATGTGCCTTAGGTTGCAACTACAGATTCTTTTTATCTATTTATGTATCGATTATGTTTTTATTAAAATCTATAAAGTTTATAAAGCATCAGGAAAAAAAGGGAAAAATCCTGGTCGCAATGTCCCAGAGCCTGAGGTGACGTCTTTAAATAGCTTGTTTGTTAAAAAAAACAGTCTAAACCTCATTGATATTTAATCTACAATGATATATAGGACTATAGGATATTTCCACAGATTTTGACTTGATGTGAACTGATTTGATTCTCTAAGATCCACTTGCATTAGATAAATACAAATAAAAAAAAAAAAGATATTCTAGGACCTTGTTTCATTCTAGGAACATAAATTTATTACCATTACCAAGTATGCACAACTCTTTCATTTATAACAAGTAACCACAGCAAATGTACACATATTCACTGAGAAAAGGCAAGTGTGCAAACATTGAACTTGGAATTATGACAATTGTTTGCAAATCATTCAATTAATACTTAAAAATTTAAAAGAGAAACACAGTAAATCCTCTTGAAATCGCTCATTCCAACTTGCCACCTGTTCTTGAGGAGGTGCGTGTTGATTAGTGATGGGCGGATCGATACTTCGATACTTACAAGCTACTTCTTTGCTGCTTCTGGGCAGCTGCGTCACTTCCAAATGTTTTCAATACTCTTGTATAATGTTTGTGCCAATTAACAGCCCTGACATACCACACGACTGTGGAACCTATGTGACATGAGAGCCAAGCATGCAGCTTAAAATCTTTATTTCAAACGGCCATACGGCAAACATAGTATCAAAAGAAAACATCAAAATCACACACATACAGGTGAAGTGTTGAGAAAACTAAAACAACACACTTCTGCATCAAACTTCTGAGAGAACGACAGAAAGGAAAGCGTGGTGTTGCCATTTTCTATAAATTACTGGACTATTTTTTTATACTTATTAGCAGAAGCTTTTTCATTTACCTGTACTCATATTTCGCTTTTCTAATAGATGTGTTATTAATGACCAGTATGTGTCATGTGATTTGCCTTTAAATGTAATGATCTTTTATTTTCTAAAAAACATTATTTCAAGAAAATCACGTACCCTACCACATATGATAAGACATGACCCGTTTGAGTATCGGTATCAATTAAAATTGTAAAAGTATATTAAAAAAAAAGTATCTGTATCATATCGAAATTAAAAAATGTGGTATCGCCCAGTGGACCCAGGAGCAGATGAAAGCATAATAAATTTACAGTGTTGGTAATACAGCTGCAACGGCGTGCCACGACAGAAACAAAGCGTGAACGGTTTGACATGGAGTCAGATGCTAAAAAAAAAAGTCTTTAAAAAGCAAAGCGGCCCATGACATCCAAGGGGACGTGACAGTCACGCAAGCACAAGATAAGAGAATATTATGCAGAAGGCAATGTTAAACCGTCGGGTGCACACATGGACAAAGACCTGCATCAAGAACCAGGTGCAGCTGTCGGAATGAGACAACGACTGCTGAACTGTATAAGTTGCTGTGCCAAAATATGCCCATAAAATGATTCCATCTAACAAAACAACAACTCTCAAACCTCTCGATAAATAGATAATATAGTGAACAGATTATTTATTTAGCATTTATTACCTTTATTTTTGTCGATGTCAGTATTATATTTAAAGTCCAAATTCATTCCGATTCACGCATTCTGTTTCTCAAGTTGAACAAGTGTTTTTCAGTTGTGAACAAGGTCAGATTACCTGTACATGGCACAACAGGTACATCAAAACCACACCACTAAGAAAAACATTCTTAGAAGTATCACAAAATCGTTAAGGTTGTGATACATGCCATAGGACAGGGGGTATTAAAAGAGCCAGAGATGTTCTGTAGCATCTATGTATGTACAGTATGTATCTATCCAATCAAGTGACAAATGTCATCAACCAGTCAGACAATCTGTCTTACCTGTGGTGAAATGTCTGAGGCAAGGTGGGAGGGGAGGTGGAGGGGGTGGCCAGGCCGGGCGAGTAGGGATGGTACGGCGTCTTCTTCAGTGCCTGGATCAGGTTGTGCCTATACTCCGGATCTATGGACCACAGAGAGCCTTTGCCTATGCTCTGAAAGAAGGAAAGAAAGAAAAAAAAGAAAGAGGTAGAGAGGGAGGGAGCAAAGAGGGGGCAGGGAGATAGGTGAGAGAGATGTTATTCGAAAGTGCTATTGGGGCCCCTCAAAGCACATCACAAACACAGCACAGCACACCGACGTGAGCCAACAAGTCCAAAGCCCAAACACAAGCTCAAAGACCAGACCTTGTGCCGGATTCTTATTTACCAAAGCACCTGTACACACAGCAATGATTCCTATATTCCCTAACGAGGCTAACACTCGGAGGAATGAGAACTAATACATCCCCAGTGCCACCTCGCTCAATATTTTCCAATCCTCTGCCTCTGCGCAGAAAAATCAGGAGGCTTTTTTTTTCTGATTAAGACATGGGGAGACTCTTTAACTTTTTCGACTCCAGAGGCAATGATGGTGTGTATTTTTAGATCAAAGCAGCTTCCCCCTCACCTAATGAAGCTGTCGGCTCCCGATCTGAGTGAAACCAGCCTATAGATTATAGAGAAGGGAGGGATCTCAGACAGGCCGCCATGAAAACACATTCCCTGTCTCTATCTCGCGCAGCCTTCTCCGTGCTTTCATCTGCCTTGTCATCTGATTGGGGTACAATCTGGAGTGTTGTGTTCGGCAGAGACAGAGAAAGGCAGGAAAAGGGAGCGAGAGAAGTAAATATAAAATTAAAGCTGTCCTGCCTCATGTTCGGCTCACTTTGTAGTGCTCTGTGATGTGATACAGGTACAGGCTACAGGGTGTGGGAGATGTCATGACTGCAAATACTACAAGGAATCTATTACTGTAAGAGGGAAATGTCAGAAGTGCCAGAGTGTGAGCATTAATTGGAGACAAATTTTAAAACCTGAGGAGCATTTTGTGTTGAATTGGATGAGAAATATACACCTTATTACTTCCCCTGATTCAGTGGATCAGTCAAAAATTCACAAAATTGAAGTTATATTTGCCCAGGCTGAGAGACCATGCAAATGTAGTGGAGGTAAATAGCATTTGTCTTTGGCTTACACAATGAAAAATTCTAACTAAAACATAGTGACAAGAGCGATGGAGGACACTACTTCTGGTAAGACATGTTTCTGTTTTTCTGGTAAATAATTCAGTATTTCAAGAGAATAAACAACTCTCTGATACTGGATGGCAGAAATAGTTCGAAAAATTCGAACATATTTATCAAGCAAGTTACTCCTAAGTTGTATAGGTATATGTGTAATCTTTAAGAGCAGCTCTCGTGGTCACATGATTGACCATGAGTGCTCTGATGAGGCATAGCCAATCAGAACAATGATGTACCATATGTCTGCCCCATTGTTCCTTATTTAAAAAAACTTTTTTTTTTCCAGTAAGCCTATTAATATTATTATAATAATCATTTAAGTTCATTTTGAGTGAAATCATTAATATCACCACTAGCCCTTAACTCATGCCATAAAAAAACATTTTATTTGGCTATATTGCTGATACTTAAATATGGATTAATATTAGGGCATTTGCTCACATAGAATGTTTGCACCCCTAAGGAGTTAAAAACAAAGTTTTGTAACATCCTATCAAATGTGTGTTTGACACCTTACAAGAAGGCAGCAGCTTCACATAGTGGTTATTGTCTCTGAAGGTGTGCGCTCTCCTGCGGACTTCTGGACTGCAGCCATCTAAGACCCCAAAAAGCTGTTCTTAACCAATTTAAGAGATGTATAGAGCTTTCTTAAAAGTGTTTTTAGTCAAAAGAGGTATAGTTTTTTTGTTTATATTCTTATGTTTGTAAGTAGGACTAAAAGAGGAAGGTTTTTATTTATACCTTTCACCTAAACCCTGATTCCTAAGTTGGGAACAACTAAACTACACTGAAACATGTTACAATAAACTTTATTAAGTTACTGTATTCCGCCGTTAACTGTAAGTGCTGTCACATATACCAACCAAACTTTAATGTGGAAACAGCTGAAATGTTAACTGCAAGCGTAGGACACATTTCAAAATGAAAACACAAGCATGAACATCCGACGTGCCGCAATGTCTCAAACAAACCCTAACATTCTTGTCTGACATCTGACTTTTTTATTTGACTAATTCCTTGATATACTGTATGACAGTACAAACTATATAATTCCTAATGTGTGTAGACATGCAGAGCCACAATGGGCACTCTGTGTGTCTCCTGATCCCAGGATGTCCAGTGAATCAGTCAAAATCTCTGCTACCACTCACTACAGCACCTGACCTTGTAAGAATGCAAGAAGCTAATAGGATGCGTGTGTGCACTGTGGATTTGCGTCCCCCCTGTCTGGATCTTTGCATTAGTATGTTAGTCGTGTTGAACATGGGCCATATGTGCCATGTTTTGCTGTGTGTATGTGTGGTGGGGCAGGGGGGTGAGTGTGTGTATGGTGAGTTCCCTAGGGAGTGTGATATTACCCAGCATGGTCTGCTCCTGGGAGTGCTTCTATTACTGCCAGCAACGCCTCTCCCGGAGAGCATGATATTACACACACATACGCTCGCTCCCACAGAGGTGACCCCCACTGGGCCAAATTTCCCCTTGCACCTCCAGCCTGCCAGCCGTTTGTGTGTATATATATGCACGTGTGTGTGTGTGTGTGTGTGTGCCTACTGTCTGCCCGCTTGCCAGCCGATTAAATCAATGCTGCAGAATATCTGTCTGCCGGGGCCCCTGCCTCTGCCAACCAGCCAGCCAATCAAAATGCTCAATCTGTAGACCCCCCCCCCCACCGAGTCGAGAGGCCAATCACAGGGTGCAGCTCACAGGAAGGGTCTGTCACCTGGGTTATAGCGGTCGCCTTGGCAACAGGCATCATCTGTGCTTGAAAGCGAGAGGAGGTGAATTGGACTTTTCATTTTCTGACAGATTCGCAAAGTTGAGAAAAGGCAGCATGTCTCAAAATCGATTATCACAAAAAGTATTTGAGGTCAGAGACGGCCTTTAAGTTTTCAGTGGGGTTCAACTTTGATATAGTATGACACCGATTTTAAAAATAGGATACCTTCACAAGGGATCTTACAGCGTAAAAGCAGGTGATAGAGGACTGTGGTCTTGACATTCACCTGAAACTGTGTTTGTGATCTCCATTTATATGATTTCCTCTCTCCGTCCTTTGATCCCATCTGGTCTCACTCCTCTGATATGAGCACTATTTTCTGGATGATGGGTTTATTTGTGTTGCATCTATGCGCTGGAAAACAGCCACGTCAATGTAGTGCTCGCAGCTGAAGAGCAGCATTACACAACAAATAATCCACAACTCTAAATGTTAACCCCTGCTTTCAGAAAAAGCTTACAGCATGAAACTCAAACTGACTAGGATTAGACTTTAAATTGCAAGTTTAAGCAATATTACACTTAAAAGAAAGGGATTTAATGATATGTATCTGTGTCACTCCACCAGTTTGTAGTAGTTTTGATGAGGAAAGCTGCAGTTTTTATATGCTGCTATGTTATAAAACTGCAGAATGCTGAGCGATATACAGGTATTTTCGTGATGGATAAAACATACGTACTGTAACTTGCCTGGGACACGTCAGTGTGAGTAAAAGACAAAAGGGGAAGAAAGAGTAGACAAAGGCGAGAGAGAGAGAGATGATTGTGTGTTGCCAACATCTGTTTCCTGTATTATATAAGCTGTGGGGGCTGGTCTCCCTTGGAAATGGGAGATATTAAAGTCCTGCTGCCACTGACCCCGCTAGTAACACTATACTACTGCTACTGCATTCCTGTGGACTGTTATGTTTTCACATATACATTTACCATAAAACAGAGCACATACTGTATATCAAGACTTAAAATACACTAGGACAGTTCACTTCATTTTAGACAACTAATCCACAAAAAATACATAGAAGGCAATACTAAGAGTACTGCATTGTTCATCCTAACTCATTTACTGTGTAAATTTAACCAATGCTTCAATGGGTAATTTTAGTCACTTTCTTGCAGAGAGTTAGATGGGAAGATTGATACCACTCTCATGTCTCTCTGCTAACTGCTTTCTTGTGTTTCAAGTCTATAGGCTAAATTAAGCTAACTTTAATGGCTGTTGCTTCATGTTTGTTCCCAATCCCACATACACTGTCCTGGTACAATAAATACTCACTAGAGCGCCAAATGTAAATCAATCCGCTGCTGAAAATAGTCCCTAACAAACACACTACTTCCTCCTGTGTGAGTAATGTTGAAAACTACTGTGCCCTGCTGTACTTAACAATCTGTGCCATGGACTGTATAGATAGGTCAGAAGGTATTATTATTAAAGACATTTGTATTGTTGGTTTTGGTAATTTTATGGGATTTAATGAAAATATATTCTAACAGTTGTTATACTGTCCACTGCTGAAACTACAGCTTTAAATCGTTTAATGATATTTGACAATGGCATTTATATGCTGTAGAGATCCATTTAAACAGTTCATATTGGCTATAATGAGAGGAGAAAGTAAATGTTGTTTTCAACTCAGTCATGAAATGAGATTAAGAAAGACATATGACACACAGAGAGCACAGAGCTGCCACTCTGTGCAGAGAAACATGCAAGGCATCTGCATAACAAGCTTTGTTGTCCAGAGCATTTTCACATGTAATATGTTTATACAACCTATCTAAAGTACAACTGCAATACAAGGCTCCGTCATTACTTACTGTACATATACAGAACTAATAATACAGTATACAGTAGGTAAAGTGCAGCATGAACCGGATACATGTCTGATTCAGAGATTAAGCACAGTTGAAGAAAAACAATATGTCTGCTGCTCAGAAATGAAGCAGGAGCGTCACTGTAATACGCAAGCAGGGAGACAAGAATTACAGCAGTGGACGCAAATGTTCTAACAGGGAGTGGAACACAGAGCTTTTTGAAGAGGAAAGAGGCAGAAAGGGGGAAAAGAAGAAGAAGACGGGGGACATTTCTTCTGATGAAGTCGCTTGACACAGGCCACTTCTGTTCTTGTTGAAGACCATTTGACAACAAAGAAC